CCATAACTGGGTTTAACAATGCATCTGTGTTGAGACATGTTTCCCTAGAGGGTTTTAAAACTGACACAGTGTTGGCAAATGAACTGAATTGTTTTTATGCTCGGTTTGAGACTTCAGATTTTGATGATGAAGTTCAGGAGCTTAAAGGTAAGCTCTGCGAAGATCGGCATTGTGACATTTCGCAGAGGCAAGTGGAAAGTGTATTTAGGACAACTAAGGTAAAAAAGAGTATAGGTCCAGATAATATCTGTGGTCATATTCTTAAAAATTGCGCCAAGGAGCTGAGCTTTATTTTTCAGATCATTTTTAATTTGTCTCTGCAGAAACAGCAAGTACCAAAGATCTGGAAAGACTCAGTGATTGTTCTAGTTCCTAAGACGAGCAGACCCAAAAACCTTAATGACTTTAGGCCTGTTGCACTAACGTCAATGGCTATGAAAAACTTTGAAAAACTAGTAAGGTCAGAAATTTTGAGGAAAACTGTGAGTGCGCTTGACCCCATGCAGTTTGCTTATAGGCCTCAAAGAGGAGTAGAGGATGCCACAGTAACTTTACTCCATCTACTCTTTAAGCACTTAGAGGGGATTGGAACGCATGCAAGACTTCTTTTTATTGACTTTTCATCTGCGTTCAACACAATCCAACCTCATATTCTTTGTAAAAGACTTTTAGAACATTTTAGCCTTGATTTTAATATTGTGGGGTGGATTCTTGATTTTTTAACACAGAGAACACAAAGAGTAACAGTGAATGGTTCTTTCTGACCAGATGGTGTCATCAACCGGATCACCGCAGGGATGCGTTCTTTCATCCCTATTGTTCATACTCTACACCAATAAGTGTCAGAGCACCTATGAGAATAGAACAATAATAAAATATGCGGATGATTCTGTCATTGTAAGCTTGCTTCACAAAAATGAAAACCAACATGGGCCAATTGTTGAGGATTTTGTAAAATGGTGTGACGAGTCAAATCTATACCTAAATGTATCCAAAACGAAGGAGATGATTATTGACTTTCGAAAACAAGCACCTCAGTGTGATGTCACAGAGATAAAGGGGCAGTCAGTTGAGTGTGTGGACTCATATAAATATCTAGGAACAATCATTGATTCAAAACTGAGTTTTGACGATAATTGTTCTGGTGTGTGTAAAAGAGGCCACCAGCGCCTTCATTGTCTGAGAAAGTTGTCCTTTTACCGTGTAGAGAGAACCATGATGACACTGTTTTATAAAACATTTATGGAATCAGTTTTAACGTTTTCATTGGTCTCGTGGTTTGGGAGCATTTCTGCTAAAAACAAGAACTCTCTGAATCAGTTGGTTAAATGGGCAAGTAAGGTGATTGGCCATCCTCAGAGCAGCTGGACTCTCTGTACTCGAGACACTTACAGAGGATGTCCCAGAGTATTTTGGGAGACGTGCAACATCCACTAAACTCAGAGTTTCAGCTGCTTCCCTCTGGTCAGAGGTTTTTAGTCCCAAGATCTAGAACGAATCGTTTTAAGAGGAGCTTCATTCCGGCTGCTATCATACTTATGAATAAATTGTAATCTATTTAAGATTGTGTGTTTTTAACATATTTAAGATTTATTTATTGTGATTTTAGACAAGTGTGTTGGATGATTTTAATTGGTTGTTTATGGAACAAACCATTCTGCACTGGAGCACTGTAACACTTTATTGTAACATTTTATTGTGTTTTTATGTGTGTTTTGTGGATGAATGAAATGTGAAATGTGGAACCTGTCTCTTAAATCTGCAAAGCAAATTTACCTACGGGTACGAATAAAGCAACCTAACCTAACCTAACCATAATATCTGCACTACTGTCCTATAGTGACCTGCGACATGAGGGGACGCACACACAAACACACACAACACAAACACACACAAACAAACAAACACACACCTTCATCATCGTCATCAACCTAACAACGAGCAGACCACGTCTCCTTCCGTAGTTACTGCGCGGACACCGCCGTCCTCCCGTGCGCCGCCTGTGGACCGTGTTTTCTCACATACGCTGCGTAAACCGCGCTTCCTCCTGTGAGCCTCTAAACCAGAACTAACACCAGGACTAAAACCAAGACTAAACCAGTCCAAGACTAAACCAGGACTGAACCAGGTCTATACCAGGACTAAACCAGGACTAAACCAGAACTAAATCAGAACTAAACCAGGTCTAAAATCAGGACTAAAACCAGGACTAAACCAGAACTAAACCAGGTCTAAAATCAGGACTAAAACCAGGACTAAACCAGGCCTAAACCAGGCCTAAAATCAGGTCTAAAATCAGGACTAAACCAGGACTAAAACCAGGTCTAAACCAGGTCTAAAATCAGGACTAAACCAGGTCTAAAATCAGGACTAAACCAGGACTAAAACCAGGACTAAACCAGGTCTAAACAATATGACACTTAACAGTAGGTTGGACATAATTTCTCTATCAATAATATTTTTTAATATGGTTAAGGAAAGACTGATCTTGTTATTGTCTTTTAGGAGACAAAACATTTTATGTTAACATCCTAGTCCTAATCCTAACAGATCATGGTCTTTGCTTCTCTACAGCAAACAGTTGCTTATTCATGGAGACATTGGGTCAGACAATTTGAAGAGAACAACAAGAGAACAAACAAGAATTTTCAGGATGTGGTTGCTATATTCATGCCGTTTTAAAAAGCATGACAATATCAAGTAATCCAAAGTAATCAGATTACGTTACTCACTTTAAGTAATTTAATGGATTACGTTACAAACTACATTTTGGGGTATGTAATCTGTAATCTGTAGGGGAATACATTTTAAAAGTCACCTTCCCAACACTGAATATATGTGTTCTCTCTGTGACAGGGATGTGCTGCTGATGGTGAGTCTGTTTTGTGTGTATGTCACATTGGAGATGGTTCAGAGATCATACTTATGCAGGTCATACCAGGGCAAAATGTGCCCATGCAGATTATATCAGTACAGGTTGTTTCTGTGCAGGTGATACTGATGGAAATTTTACCTGTGCAGGTCATACAAGTGCAGATTGTATCTGTGCATCATAATCACTGGCATGATACCAGACAGGACATTGGCTCTTTCTGCAGGATTACATGCATAATCCCTCAAATAATGCCTTCTCCGTTCCACCTTGTGATGTCATGTGGTAATAGAGGAAGTGCTCTGTAAAAGAATTTAAGTAATTTATCCAGGGACGTCTCTCAGTTTAACAATGACTTTCATGAGCTATAATAACACAATTGTTTTCCCTTGGCATACAATTGGCATACCATTAAATTGTGTCATATTTCTGACCAACTGGTCCCTACTGGCCTTCATAGTCTCACCACACTTGCTTTATAAACCTCCCCCTTTGGATCCTTTGGAAGCATAGTAAAGGGGCTTATGCTCATACTATGTTGACTTCAAATGTTCAAATCTCCCCAGATCCATATTATTGATGGTAAATAAACTTCTCCTGCTTAAGACATCCAGTTGGTCTCCAGCCTTTAACTTGCACCCTTTCTTGGACAAGCTGAAAACATGCTCCACTGTGTTTTTAAATTCCATACACCTTTACTAGAATCTCGACTGAAGAAAAGGTTAAAGGTAGCTGTTAACTTGAAAACTGAAACCTGAAGACTAATGCTTCATGACATCACAAGGTGGAACAGAGCATTTTGAGCTTTGGAGATGTAGACTGACTAATAATAAAGAATTCCTCAAACATGTGTGAATGAAACAAAACACAACTCCAGGTATGTTTTTGATGAGATAACAACATTCTAACATGACTTGAAGCTCACAAGAGTCAATAAACAGATGCCATACAACTGAACCACTTAACTAATAACAAAGCAGGAAGCCATGTTTACTTTTTTTATTTTTAACAGCATGAATACATATATTGTAACCTGAACACAACTCATTGCACTAACCCTGTGCAACCCTTAATGATTCATTTAGTCAGAGACAGTTTTGAGGACATGAAATTCCTTTTTTCACCAAAAACTGGAAGTGAAATAAGATGTATAGTCTTTACAACCACTTTCTAGACAATTGACTGTGCAAGATATAAAAATAAAAGAAGTTTTCCAATATATAAAACCAGAAAAGAAGAAGTAACAAGTTCAAAGTTTTTCTCTCCTAGCATGACTTTATTGCTTCATCATAATCCTTCTTTCACAATGCTGTTTGCTCAGTGGAGTGATCCATTGTGGCTCTACCCAACCAGGCTATTTCACTGAGTTTTTAAAAGAGCACGCCACGACCTGTCTGCTCAGCTCTTTCAGATGTTTCCACACATACTGCCTATTTACTCTGGTACCAACTAGCACGAACAGGCTGAACTGCTCACATGGACCCATGCTCATACATACAGTGGATTTCAGTTTCCAGGTTATAGGCGCCATTTTGAGGACTTTTGCCCAATGAAAAATGTATTGAGAACTGTTACGGTAATGGTCTTTGTTTCTCTTCACTCTGAAACCATGAATATAAAGGTCCCACTGTTTTCTGATGCACCAGATAACAACACTGAAACCAAACTGTCTCATACATAGAGCTAACTTTATTCATGCCATATAAAAAAAAGATGACTTCATTTGCATTATCTGTTTCTTGCAGCTGTTTTGCATGGTTTTCATGGGTCTGTAGGAGTACACCACTATTCTGATGATTGACAATTAAATTCCTTCTCTGGTTAACACATACTGTTTTTGTGTACTTGGGCAATACACTACCTCGTTTGTGTATCCAGTGCATTCATGTGTGAATGTTTGTGAATGTAAATGTATAGAAAACTGATGTCCCATGTGAATTATAACTTATTCTGATGCTGATTCTGAGTCAATTTGGTAATACAGTGCCAATATCCCCATTGTTTATAATGACTAAAAAGTGTATTTTATTAACAGCTTTTGCATGTAGTGATCGCAGCACCCCATCTGTGAATTTAAATAGGTGAAACTCTGAGTGACAGAGAGTGAAGGTGATGATCCACCCTGGGTTTACACTGGCCACAGTTTGGGTGTGTCTAGCTAAAGGACAAAGATGTTACTCAGATACAGGCTCCAGTACTCAGCCCACAACTCCTAGAGGCTATGAAAAGAAATACTTAGTTCATGTCAAGGTGTGACTTGGCTGCCATTTAAGATAAACAGACCCCAAGGATCATCTCATGTTGAAAAGTATTTGGCTTTGGCTTTGTTGTGCTTTTAGTAAAATGCAAATCAGTCCATGTGTCCACAAAGGCGCCTTGTAAGTTTGTTATAATGTCAACAAATCCATCTCTAAATTAATAGTATAGAAGAGTATGATTTTACAGTTCATGTTAATAATCTATTTTACTTGAGCTGTTCTACATGTATGTGTATGGCAAAATGTTCACCAATTACCATGGTGACACAAACACTGAGCAACAAAATTTTAAATGGTCTGAAAACTCAAAAATACCAAAAGATCTAAACCACATTTTCAGGAGCCTGTGAACAATATGAGTGTTCATGGTTCTGTTTAGGTGTTTGATTTTCAACAACAAAGGTGAGATTGACTAACTGAAAAAAAAAACTGTTGGCTATGTTACGTAGCTTGTGACTGCAATGTTACTTTAGAGTGACTTGTTTAACAGTAAAAATCATTGTTATAGTTCCAACTATGTAAATTCTTTCCTGTCAGATTGTGTATAAAGTTTGGAATAGACAGAGCAGAGCCTACAGTTAGCATCACACCCTTAGGGAATGTTGATGACATCAGCTGCAAGGAGCAATATATTACCTATCTGTATCACCAATTATAAGGTAAATACATTCAAATATAACTTATTTATCACAGTTGTATCACAGATTTATTCTATTCTTTATATTCATTTATATTTGTTTTGGTTCTAAAAATGATAACCAATCAAAAAGCGGAATGAGCCTCACACAAGTCTCTCATTTTGTTGCTGAAATCCAGTTGGTTTAAACCTAAAATGAATCACTCTGATCTGAAGCCTCACTATGCATGTTAAGGCACTGGTAACCAAGGTTAACTTACAACTGTAGTATTTTTTAAAATAGTGAGTCCAAATAGATTTTCTTTAAATAGTGTCCATGTGATTGTGCACTGTAACACATCTTGAAAACCCAAAATACTTGATACTTCTCTCTGTTGTTTTATCCAGCAGAATGATGAGATGAATATTTACTGTGAAGTAAAGAGGAAGCACGAACATGGCGAGTATGCACACGACCCCTATCATTAAGTCTGTCCTCGGGCTACTGCCATTTTGCACTTTTCTTTCTTCTGGTAATTCTAAATGTACTACTTTCTCAGTACTATTATGATCTTGCTTTTCAGTGTTTTTTACTGTGCATTCAGGGGAGAGTCCAACATCACGTTTGTCATACATCTGGATTGTACAGGTGCATTGTGCCTCGCTGGTGTCAACATCTGGAGTTGCTAGTTCAGTGTATTTTCTCCATAGTAGGAAAGAGCATACAGCAAGAGCTATGGAAAAATACAACAACACCATAATCCAGTAAGGTGGTAGGACCCTCATCATTGGGCTGTGAATGTTAGGCAAACATGTGAAAAGAGATTTGGTGGTGTATAAACATGCTTCTGCCCACATTTCCTCCAAATTAAACTTCAGTCTGGTGTTAAGAGCCACGAATATCCAAATAGACAAGCAAAAGATGTATGCAGTAATGTAGTAAAGCAAAGTTGGCTTTTTTCCCGTTTTGTCTGAACATTCAGCAGCATTGTTTTGCATGGAATTTTGTTGTTCCTTTGTTTCTTTTTCTGCTAGATGTCTGATGAAAGTGTCCACGATAATTTCAGGTAAAGTCAGGAGGAAGACTGTGCCATATGTGTGACAGATGAAGAGCAGGCAGCGCAAGGCGATGTAGTCACCAGTGAAAGGCATTATGATCTGGAAATGCTCCAAAACCAGCAGGCAACTGAAGAAAACTGTGGAAGAATATGACAGTTAGTAAAGTCAGCTGGAGTGTTTTAGAGGTAAGCTTTATAACTTTTCTGGTGGAGGGTCCTGGACCTGCTTGTTACTGTGGAGATGTTGTTGCTTTGCCTGAAACATTCATACCATACTATATACAACTGTACAACAATTCACCCTTATGTAATACATAACCCTAAGTCCTATCCTATTTTTACTTGTACATATACATTTATATAATTAGGCCTATTTGACACCCCTCTCTCTTGCTCTTGCTATATTTTTATTGCTACTAATTTATTTTTAATGTATTATTACCATTTATATTTTTTACTCTTTGTTATTATAATATTATGTGATGTGTGAGCTGCTGTGTCCAAGTAATTTCCCTTGTGGATCAGTAAATGTTGTCTAAGTCTAAGTCTAAGTCTAATGTTCCACAGTATGGCATTAAATGTACATGTCACCATGGAGACAAGTAGGTGACACCTGAGTTGTGTTTTGTTTCAGTCGCACATGATTGAGTAACCCTGTGGCAGTCTACATCTCAAGTTAGTTAATTAGTTAGTTAATTCGTTAGTTTTTTTAATCCAGGTCTGAAATTATCTAACTGATTCTGGTGAAGGTGTATGGATTTTAAAAACACAGTGGAGTACTTCCTGTATTACCACATGACATCTCAAGCTGGAACGGACTGTTTTCAGTTTGGGAGGAGAGCTCAGGTTTGTTTGTAATGAGGAAACAAATATTCTAACATAGATCAGGAAATAGTGAATTATATGTGCACTTTATCTGTGTAGCAATCTCCTCCCAAATTCAAATTTGAATCTTAGCCATGAGAAAACAAAAAGAGAGAAGGTGTGCAATGAGTTAGATCATTACAGGTTGTTATTCGAGGTGTTTTCATCATTTGAGTATGTATCCTTTAAAATGGAGCTAAAATAATCACGGCCCATACTCCTACTTATTTATATACAAACTTCAAGCACTATCAAAGTTGTATTGATGATTTTACTGAGATGCTTTCAGCCGTATGCACAGACTTGGTGGTGCCCCAGAAGTCCCCCTGTTCAGCCTCTATGGCTGCATATTAACTGACTTAACAGCAGCATGTAGGCAGGCAACACTCACATACACTCGATCTCACTGGCAGCAGGTGAACATGGACCAGACGATCAGATCAGACTGAACTAGGTCTCTCACCCTAAAACCTTCAAATCAGGTTAGAAAGGGTTAATAATGGACTTTAAAAGCCATATTGTAGTTGATAGACTTGAAGAGACTTATCCATGCATTTGTCTTCAGTAGACAAGAGTATGGCCTGCTCACTGCTCCCTCCCGAGAGCTGTAAGACAGCTGCAGTACATGGCAGCCTGATTCTGACATGTCAGTGCCATATTATTTATTTTTATTTATTCAATATTTTACCAGGTAACTCAGTTGAGAACACGTTCTCATTTACAATAATGACCTGGCCAAGAGGCAGAATAAAACAGAAGCACAAATAGAATACACTCACACATCAACCATAACATAAAACAGTGAATAGAGACATGAGACAGTGAAACATTTGCAGATTAAAGATATGAAAGTGTTAAGGGAATGTGCAATGATCCTGTAAAATACTCTGGATGGAGTTTTTAAAAGTCAACTGTAGTAAAAACAAACTAAGCATTAAAGTATGATAAAGGTGGTTCAAGTCACTTGGTGCAGAGAACTGAAATGAGGAGCGGCCCAAAGCTGTGCGGGCTTTAGGAATGACCAGGGTCATGTATCTGTTGGAGCACAGTGAGCATTTGGAGCTGTGGATGTGCAGTAGTGAGCTGAGGTAGGATGGAGTTTTAAGAATTAAATATGTTTAAATGAACAATAACCAGTGGGTTTGTCTGTGGATGTGGAGAGAGGGCCACTTCACCAGGGAGTAAAGTGTGCAGTGATGGATGGTAAACGGTGCACCTGTGCACCATATGAACCATCTCTCACTCTGAGGACCTAAGGGGCCAGTCTCCTGCTGGTGCCCAGAGTCAGGAGTAAACATGAGGAGTAAGCCTTTCAGTTTTATGCAGCTAAAACCTGGAACAGTCTGAGGATGTGAGACAGGCACTCTGACATTGTTTAAATCCAGATTCAAAACAGTTCTGTTTAGGTGTGCAAATGACTGAAAGGTTTTTATTCTGCTCTATTCTCTTTTAGTTTTGATGATTGTTTATTTTTTTGTTAATTTGTATTGTGATTTTAATGTATTTTGTAAAGCACATTGAATTACTTCGTGTATCGTGCTATACAAATAAACTTGCCTTTCCTATATGCAAGTCAAGTCCAAGTCAAATTCATGTCCAGTCCACATCAAGTTCACAAATAGAGTTATAGACTTTATTTCAATTACTAACAATAGGATCCCTACCATGCTGAATCCTTCAAATCAGAAAATAATCCTTATGCATGAAATCCACAAGTAGCCAACTCACTCAGTGCTCATTGCCTTGTGCCTAAAGCCTAGTCAGGTTCAGATAACTTTATTCATCCTAAAAGGCCATTTCATTTTGTAGCTGTTGCTCAGAAGAGTAAACCTCTCTAAAACAAGCAAATACAAAAGAATGTTACAAAACTATCACTAAAGGAACAATAAAAGATTTGGACACTTTCTTTAAAACTAGATTAATATTTAACATTTTTTATGATGGCTTCTGTGTTTATGTTGAATTTTATTTCAGAGTCAAACGCTATTCCAAAATATTTATGAGTCTCCCATCCAACTACAAACCAGGTCCAGTCTTGATTAGTTTCTAAGCTCAGGCACTGACAAGCAAGTTTGACCACATACTGTTATTGTGTCTCATCAAAACACATGAAGTCACCAGAACTCATTCAGAGCTACAAACAAAAACAAAAAATTCTTCTTTTGTACATTCACTTCTTGGGTTCAGTGGAAAATGTATTTACCTTGTTGACATGGTTCAGCTGCTAGCTGCAAGCCATCTTCAGAGCTGTCTAGAGTTGCAGCTAGCAGCTGAAAGATGTCAACCAGGTAAATACATCTCCTACTGTATTGTCTTTGAAAAGAATCCAAGAAGTTGATTTCCAGAGCCATATTGTACTTGGGTATTTCCTATGGTCCTTACCTGTTAGGATTACATCAGTGAAAATCAGGAGGCAGATGCTACAGAAGCTGAAGGGGCTGGTGGTTGAGGTGACCATGGATTGCACAAAGGGCAGAGAACAAACCAGTTTACAGATGCTTAACACTGTAGCTCCCTCTAGCACGCAGTCCATGATGACCACTTCCACAGCAACTACATAGAGACGCACCGAGAAAATGCTTTGGCCCGAAGACAAAAGAGCAGCTCAGGAATCTGTAAAACAAAGAGTGAGGGAGATTAGATTTAAGTGTAAACTAAATAAAGTTAAGGTACACATAATTGTCCTCTGCATTTGACCCATCCTTGTCTAGAACAGTGGGTGCTGAAGTACATCAGTCTGGGACCCATCTCCAGATCCTGGGCTAGGCTTGATGAGGACCACTTAGGATTTGTACCTAATGTGCATGATGTGGGTTGATGGGGGAAAACCGGAGTGTCTGGAGCAAACTCACCCAGACACCAGGAGAAACATGCAAACTCTGCATAGAAAGGCCCACATAGGCTGTGAGGCAAGAGTGCTAGTCACTCAATCAAGTCTAATCTTATGTACAATGAAAACTATATGGGAAGAAGCTAAAGCTTAATTAAACTAAACTAGCTAATACAACTACTTGCGTATGTATAGACAGTACTTAATCCAAGCAACTGAGAGAAAAATACATTTGTTGTCATTGTTAGATGACTGTTATTGCGGTTAGATGAGATAGATTTGTGATATTTTGCAAAACATTTTCCAAGCTTTGTTTGCTGAACATTAAACATTTGTAGCAGTCTCAGACATATGCATAAATCAAATATTATAATGAAGATAGTATAAAGCTGAATGCAGATTACATAGTTTTGGTTAAAATAATCCTTTTATTCTTTTATTGCACAAGATTGTTTGCTTGACACTGTTGCTGGACCCTGGACTTAAAAGCTGCGCAAACCTTCCACTGTCAACATGCATATTACGTATGATAGACTTTCAGTAATAACAATACTAAAACACAAAACATGATCAACCACCACATCTTGACACATGAGATTTTGTATGCAAATTACACAATGGTACTGCTTTGACTACCTGTACCAACTAATACTGCCAAACAAAGATCAGGCAGAGGAAGTAACAAGATATTTAAGTACATTTTACATACAGCATTAACTAAAATGTGCTTTAGAAGGTGACGAGTTTAGATTTGTTTGGATACATCGTAGATCTGCAGTGGTGTTGTGTAATCTGTAATAGCAGCAAAGTAGTAGTAGTAGTAGTAAATAATAGTAGCTAATGCTAATATTAATTGGCATTGTATAGTACATCATGTATATATTTTTTTAAGATGCATATAGCTGGATCCAAAACCAGCAACATTGAGCCAAGTTTTTTCATTGATAATTTTGCTTATAATAATAACATTATAATAACTAACACAACTGTGTAACTTACATTTAATTTATTTAACTTACCTATTGCAATGTTTGAAAACAGTGCAATACAAATACTACTACTACAGGGCGAATTATCCATAGTAGAAAAGATATTGATTACTTATGTGTATTTAATAGTAACTAAGTACCAAAATATTACATATTGACTGCTAGCAGTTGCACTGATAAAAATATATATGTTTAATGTTGTTTGGCCTTTGAATTAATAACCTAAAATACTACTACTAACACTACTGCAACTATTACCACTACCTAATGCAAAGACTATTCATATTCAAAATCATTTTCTAATGAAAAAAATGACAAATGACTAAAAATGTGCCTTACCTGTCTTACCTGTCCTTGTGCTGTTGCCTTCAGAACAGCATGTCAATAGTGTCTCAGATGTTGTAGCCGTGTTAGTTCATGTGTGAGTCTCCGCCCCCTGTCCTACTGCTCCACCCCCTCACCCATGGCCCAACCCCTCCACTGTCCCATCTGCACCTGGGCTGAGCGGCTACAGGCAAACAGGGCGAGGCTCTCAGTGTGTTTGAGCAAATGACATCAAAAACCAGTCCAACTGCCAACACAGCCCCTAGATTCGGTCTGAAGGTGACAAGGCAAAGGGAAAAGATGACATTTAAAGATGCACTATTGTTAGGATAAATAACTAGGCTCGCGCATTTAAGGCCTCCTACCGGAAATGAGTACAAAAGAGAACAAAAAAACGTAACTCATTTACAAAAACAAAACTAAGCTAAAACTAAAAGAAAACAGGGAAAAAACTAAAAGTGTCCAAACGTAACAGTGGTGTATAACTACTGCTATGATGTAACTGATGTGCTGCTATACAGTTATTGATGTACTGCTATATTTTATTATTGTACTATTAGAATTCACTAAACAATGACCCAGAATACAGGGACCAGATTACAGATGAGGGATGCAGAGATAGGTTCAGTTCATGTACAAAATATTCTGGTTCTATCTATATGTCTAATCAATTAACTAAATAGGGCAAGGACTTATGCTGACTCACAACTCATCACCCTGATCAGACCAGCAAGATGCTCCCGTAAGGGGAGTGAGATGAATCAGGAGGATTCTTGTCACAATCGGATAAGATTGTGCGACGTGCCAAGAGGTCTGGCTGGCCTGTGCATCAACGAAGAGGCACTTGGATTTACGCACTGCCGCCATTACCTTGTCGCCGTCGTTTTTGCTTTATGGATCTGCGTCGAGGTCTGTGCACCGCGAAGTAATTCACTGCTAACACGCTAGGGGGCGACGATATCTGTCCGTTCATATATACGGTCTGCGTGTATGACCCGAAGACGTATTATCTCTGAAAACTTTAACATGAACCATTCTAACGCGACAAAAGCACAGAACAGACTCACCATTAGTACAATATCCCTCTGTCACAGAAAGAACACGCATATTCCACTGAGTCGTGTTCTTTTTAAGTCTGACAGAAGCTGACTCCAGGAGCGAGCTGTTTTATGAGCGCTATGTTTATGCAAGTTAGCCATGCGGTTTTAAGTTTCGTTTCTGTAAAACGTAAACAGATTTGAGCAAAGCTGCATTAAACACATTATTTCTCAATATATACTGAAAGAAAGGAAAGCCGACAGGAAATGTCTACAGAGCGGTGGTACGGAGGACCAATCACAATTCTTATCGTCTGCGTCGCTTCCCCTGCTGTCTGCGGCGTTTTGACGCGTAGTTAGAAAATTTCGGAGGTGCACGTTGGTCGACGCAGAGGCCCTGCGTAGGGTACGCGTCGATACAGACTCTCTGCGTCGTGACGCAGACAATTTGACGCTGGACCGTAAATTGGCCTTAAACAATGGTCACCTCCCACTATAGTTTGCGTATAAAAAGCATTGTATAGGCGTAAATATTCAGTCTCCGCATGGGAATGTCAGCACAGACTCCTTGTACAAGTATGACTTTTCTAATATTGGAATAAGTAAATTATCTGGACTTTATTTCTGTTTCAAGTGTAATTTTTTTTGGTCTAAGTAGAAACTAACAAACACGTGAGGAAAGGGTTATTTTCCTCAACACTATGTAACTTTTCTGTTTGTCTTAAACTTAGACAAACTTTAATGATCCATCCATCCATTTTCGTCCGCTTATCTGGGGCCGGGTCGCGGGGGCAGCAACCTAAGCAGGGACTCCCAGACTTCCTTCACCCCAGACACGGACTAAACCAGGACTAAACCAGAAGTGAACTAGGACTAAACCAGAACTGAACTAGGACTAAAACAGGACTCGCTGTCGGGACGGGCTCGAAGGTGACCGCAGGAGAAAGGAGCGGCTCTGCTCCACACCTCATGGAGGTAAGAGCGGCTGTCACCCGATCGCTCTTTATGGACCCTGCTGCTCGGGCTCGCGGCCCTGATTTCAGCAACTATTTGCAGGTACCCGAGCCGGTGCAAGAATCTGTTACAGCGCGTAACTTCTACCTTCCTTCAGCGTGTCCAGAAGTCCAACTTTTTGTGTGATGGTTTGCATCTTCCTCTGCCTTTTGGGTGCGAGTGCAGGAGCCTTTGTCGGTGCAGAACGTTTCGTCGACGTTGTGAGTTTCGTCGGGGAGAAAACTTGCAGCCGTTCAGCACTTCAGAATCACACTGATACAGATTGAACATGTATTTAAATTTGGCAGCTGAACACATTCTGTACTGTACAGGAGACAGGAGTCCCTTGGCCAGTCAGGACGCAGCGGGAGGAACGCAATACGCATTCATACAATGTCCAAAAAAAAAAGGCATGCAAAATTGCACAAAAAAAAATATAATAAAAAATCTGCGAAACAGCGAGACCGCGAAAAGTGAACTGCGACAGAGGGAGGGACGAGTGTAAACCAGGTCTAAACCAGAACTGACCCAGGTCTAAACCAGGTCTTAACAGCGTGGAGTTCTTTGTCAGTCCTTTCGCCCGCGGTTACCTGAAGGTCTATGAGGGCGCATGTCCGGCGTTTCACCGCTGCTGATATCGAGGTGATTTTAGCGAATTTGTATGAAGAAAAACACACCACTTCAATCCAGGTAAAAAAAAAACATTGTAACGCGCGTTACTCACATTTGTACCGAGTAAAATATTACAGTTTTTTCCCCTGTAATGCCTTACATTACTGCGTTACAGCAAAAAATAATGCATTACTGTAATTCGTTACTTTTATAACGCGTTACTCCCAACACTGCTCATGACCATAGGTGAGAGTAGGAACGAAGACTGACCGGTAAATCGAGAGCTTCGCCTTTCGGCTCAGCTCCCTCTTCACCACAACGGTCCGATACAGCGACCACATCACTGCCGAAGCTGCACCGATCCGCCTGTCAATCTCACGTTCCGTCCTCCCCTCACTCGTGAACAAGACCCCGAGATACTTGAACTCCTCCACTTGATTCAAGGACTCTCCACCCACCCGGAGAGGGCAAGCCACCTTTTTCCGATCGAGAACCATGGCCTCAGACTTAGAAGAGCTGATCTTCATCCCAGCCGCTTCACACTCGGCTGCAAACCGCTTCAGTGCACACTGCAGGTCCTGGTTCGATGAAGCCAACAGGACAACATCATCTGCAAACAGCAGGGATGAAATCCTGTGGTCCACAAACCGGCCCCCCTCCGGCCCCTGACTGCGCCTAGAAATTCTGTCCATAAATACAATGAACAGAACCGGTGACAAAGGGCAGCCCTGGCGGAGTCCAACATGCACCGGGAACAGGTCTGACTTACTGCCGGCAATGCGAACACAGCTCCTGCTCCGGTCATACAGGGACCGGACAGCCCTTAGCAAAGGGCCCCGGACCCCATACTCCCAGAGCACCCCCCACAGGACACCACGAGGGACACGGTCAAATGCCTTCTCCAAGTCCACAAAAAACATGTGGACTGGTTGGGTAAACTCCCATGAACCCTCAAGCACCCTATGGAGAGTGTAGAGCTGGTCCAGTGTTCCACGGCCAGGACGAAAACCACACTGCTCCTCCTGGATCCAAGGTTCGACTATCGGCCGGATTCTCCTCTCCAGTACCCTATTACTATTACTTAATGATCCACAATGGAAATTATTTGGACACTGAAGCTCATCTCATTAAATAAAATAATAAAGAGCATATATATTGTAACGGCAGTTACGAAATGAAAACCGTGAGAACAGGTTGGCTTGTATTTCAGCTTTAACAGAAATGGCAAAATAGCAACAGTACAGGGTTAAGTTTCAAACTCTTCTGCCTAACTCATGGTCTGAACGCTCCTCCCCGAAAATGACTGCCTGTCAATAACTAGCCCCAAATAAAAACAATTCCATAAAGCATTGCGACAGTTTGTAGGTCGCTACAATATAAATGGTAATAATAAATTCAAAATAAGTAGCAAAAATAGCAAGAGATTGGTGTTAAATGAGGAAAAAGAATTACATACAATAAAATACAACAATACAGATTTGTATTGTTGTTTTACAGATGTTAATAAAATTCAGTGCACTTTATTTCTATAGCACAATTTACCACAATAAAAACAGCAAAATAGACCAACAGGTATAAACTGTATAAAAACAAATAAATAAGACAACAGAGATGCATTATGGGACCAGTCCTTTCAAAGCTTTAAAGACAAACAATAACATTTGAAATAAGTGCACTGCAGTAGTCCAAAAGTGATTAAATAAAAACATGCATGATGTGCTCAAATTTAAATTTTGGCTAAATCATGATGTTACAACATAATATGGTAATGTATCAACATGGTTTTACAAAATGTATTTCACAACCGCATTGACCTGTTTGGCAAGTCTATGATTGTCAGTGTCAGAGGAACAGGATTATGGTTTAAGGTTATTAAAATTTTTGGTGAGAAATGGCAGCCAAACTGTTCACAGCTGAGTATAAAGCTCAATGAAATGCATGTTTTTCTTTGTAATTTTAGTTTTTCTTGTCATTTAGATTTCTATGATTCAGGAAATGTGTTACATTGCTGGATGGCAATAAAATCTAACTTTGTAAAATCAAACCAAAGATAAATCGCACTATTTTGTTACTCAAGACCTTTCTTGTGCTGAAATGGATTTTTTTTAGCTATTCATGTGAATATTAAAAAGTAGTACATCAGAAAATTGTTTTACATACATATGGATCTTGTTCCAGTTTAGTGTTAGGGTTAGATAGGGTTTGGTTTTGATGTTGTGAGTGTGCAAATGTGTGTGAACAGAATACACCCTCAGACATGTTAAGCACCGCATAAGCTTTCTGAACTTTGCATTTGCTGTTTCCATCAAAAGTAATTTGAATATTATGTAATGACATGTTCAAATGTGCCATGGAAAGAAACTGTATGCACATCATCAGTTGTCACATGCACAGCTATATATATATATATATATATATATATATATATATATATATATACATATATATACATATATATATATATATAATATATTTACCTCTATAGCTGAGTTTTATATTAGATGGTGAGGTTTTCATCTCTGCACTGAATTTTACTGCCCCTCCTCAGTATATATGTAGTAGCCTATATTATATTTGTATTACTTGTATGACTTACATAGAAATTGGCACTTATACTTAAAACATTGATATTATTCCATTTTATATTACTCCCTATTAGAAGTTTTCCAAGTCATTTTCATTTCCAAGAATGTGTTCACACTTAACCAGGTTTGGTCTTGGTTTTAGCTCAGTTTAATCCTGATGCTGATTAGATTTGATCCTGTTCTAGTCCTGGTTTAGTCCTGGTCTAGTCCCAGTTTAATTCCAATTCCAGTTACTGTGTAGTTGGTGTAAGGGTGCATGAGTTCATAGTGGTTTGGGCCTGGTATGAGTCTTTATGCATACTGTTTACTTTTTATTGGTTTAGTCCTGGTCTAATCTAGGTTTAGTTCCCAGTTTAGTCCCCTATTTTCAGATACTTGCACTCTTAGTTAACTGTCCTTTTGATACCAGTTCAGCTTCTCTTCTGGAGCTTATATCTGGAACTACTGTCAGAGTGAGTTTGGATCTCGGTGACAGCTGGAAAGCTCTGCAAAGATACAAAAGTGCAACTACACACTGTCAGGATTATCTCCAAATCTCATTGTTCAAAGCCTATTAAAGACACAGTGACGAAGTGTTAGAAAGTGAGAGAGATAGGGTCCTAATCACCTAGATTGATTTGAGTGTTATTTAGTTATTCTTTCTTTACGTTGTTTGTTTTGTAAATAAAATGCTGTTATGAGTGTATTGTAATAGTGTATTGTCATGGGGCAGCAATAGTAAGCTCTCTCCATCTTTTCTATCAGGGATTAAAGTCACTTGAATAGACTTGTTTATTTGGTTTTAAGGCTTATTGCCAGGGATCATTGACAGTCTAAGGCAAGAGTGTCCAAACTTTTTTCATCATGGACCATATATTTAAACACAGATGAAGCACATTAGAATGAGCCATCAGTCTTTATCGATCCTTAAAACCACACACTAAATGTTAAATATTAGCTTTATCAAGGTAGATTTTCAAAAAAAAAACTTGCAGTAAAAAGTTTTTTTAATTGATGCAAGGTAATTTGGGCCAATTCACCTGGAAGGCATGATTTGTCTGAGGGCCGTTTGGACATGCCTGGTCTAAGGTGTAGAAGGTGATTCCATTTAGAGCTGTTCCAGTGTGTAGCAGCAGCGCCCTCTCTTGTTCATGTTAGCACATTGCAAGTTCCCGTCCTGCCACTCTCAAGCTGATGCTAAAATAGGTTATATCTTACCCTCCTGAAAATTCACATTTTCAGAAGGGTAACACTTAGTTGCTCAACATTAAAGATGGATTCTGTAACTTTTCAGATTTGCAGTTTGCTTGTCTCCATGGAGATGTAATTGCTTTGCCTGAAATGTTGCTTCAAGTATGGTATTAAACGTGTCTTTCTCAGGAGACAAGAAGGTAGTACCAACAGTCCAAGTTACAGGCCAGATCTATGGAGCGCTATAAAATCACCCTGAAATAAATGTTGGATTTAATGTCATATTGAGGAACATTTCAGACAAGACACAAGCAAGCGAAAATGTTCGAAAGTGCACCTTGACCTAGAGTAAAATTAAAATTAGAGTAAAATTACAAGCCTACTACTTGTGGACAGCTTTTATATCATTATTTAGCAAACATTAACTAACTTGAATACAATCCTCCTCGCTTAAAGGTCCTATAATTACACAAAACTGCCTCTTGTGAGCTTTAAGTCATGTTATTATGCTGTTACCTCATCAAAAACATACCTGGAGTTGTGTTTTGTTTCATTCACTCATGCTACATATATGAGTAATCCTTTAAATTAATCTGTCTACATCTCCAAAACTCAAAATGTTCCATCTTGTGATCTCATGCAGCGGTAGTTTTCAAGTAAACAGCTGCCTTTTAATTTTTGTTCAGTACAAATTGGTAATTCCAGGTCTGAAATTATGCAGATGATTAGTGAAGGTGTATGGAGTTTAAAAACATAGTAGAGCACTTCCTGTATTAGGCTACTGCATGACATCACAAGGTGGAACAGAGTGTTTTCTGTGTTATTAAACATGTGTGCATGAAACAAAACACAACTTCAGGTATGTTTGTGATGAGGAAACAGCATAATAACACATCTGAAAATATATGGGCCCTTTAAAAAACAAGAATTCAAGACGGATCGCTTCCCTCTTTTTTCCATTTAGTTGTGCATGTGCAGCCCATCTGACGCCGCAGTACGCATGCAAGAGGCTACAGCACATCACATCTTCTGCATAGAGCGGCACACACTACAACAGTCGCGCTCGGCAGAAATGGGTTAAATTCTGTGTGGTCGCCTGCAGCACCCAGAAGTGAACAGCAGGCGACCCGGAAGGCTTGGAGTCCGACCCATCCAGCCTCAACGGGACTTCATCCATCCATTATCAAAAAAAAAAACAAAAAAAAAAAAAAACCTCTTTCCCGGACTGGTTCAGGTAGGATTTGAGCTCAGTGCGATCTTACAATTTCTATCCCTCTCCTTTCCCTTTACGATCATGCATTTTTTTTATTTATGGTTATTTAAGTCGTGCAAAAGTACTGATGATGTGCGTATAGTGCAGCGTAAAGATGGTTTTCTATGTAAAGCGAATCCAGCAGGGTATATGAATGTGCACGCATGAGACGGTGCGTTTTTGGATGCTGCGACGATAGCGCTGATAGCTGTAGGAAGTGTCCGCTTTTTTTCTCTCCTCTAGCCGGGCTATTCAAACCTGCATCAAAGTAAACAATCACCCGTAGCGTAATGCAAATACGGCACAATGCGGGTCAATGGTGTCGTTTACGTCGACTTGGAGGGATATAACATGAGCTAAATTTGGGCTCTGCAAAAAATGGCGTCCAGAGCTTATAGAAATAAGACCAGGCTGCCATTTTTGTTTTCCTTTTGTCTGAATTTTTTAATAAACTGTCTGGGTTTGTGGGAGAGGCGGCGCACTGTTACAGAGAGCAGCAGCGGCACAGTCCTAAATGGGTTATAAGAATCACTGGCTCAAAAGTTAACATGAACTTAAACCTCAATAAGGATTTGCATTATTCCACTGTCTAACTTATAAAGAGATGTTGCTTTTAACAGTAAACGAGCAAGACCCACAAGGGGCAATGCAATTTCATAAAAGATGTAGGCTATACGAAGATTAAACGTTTACTTACACAATTACAACTAGTAATAGGCCTATTTAACCTTACTACATATGTGTCTGTTTGTAGTATTATAAATCACTGCAAAATGGGGCAATTTTAAACAGTTGGGTCCCAATGTTCACCATTATTTGTGATGATCATAGTAACATTAGGCTATCATAAGTAGACAGTGCATAGTCATTAAAAAACCTTTGGGCCCTACACTGGGGTCAGCAGCCCTATGGTCCTGAGAGATGACAATAACAATTTTCAACTGAATATCGTCTTAATGTTTTGGGGGCTGTCATTTCTACTAGACATATCTCTAGGGTCAAGTGAAATAGTGATAAAAATATTGATACAATCACTGTGATGATATACTATTTTGGCGATTCTCTGTTTAATGCAACTCTTCTTAAAAAAATACTTTTCCCTAACCACTTCTCCTATGGTCAGTGTGTGTCATGCTGTGAGTGAGTGACAGGTGGATTAACCAACCATAGGCAAGTGTTTTCTCTTAGAAGAAGGAGATTTGGTCACCTCTTAAAGACAAGATAAAGACACTAATATAACTCTGGAGGTGTGATTAAATTCAAAATGTGATCTCGCTATAAAAACGCAATTTTTGCATATCGCCCTGCACTCGGCCTCCTGCAGGTTCTCTTTAGGCTAAAGCTCTCCAGGAAGTACAGCGATCCCGACTGACTGCTTAAGAGAAATATTCTGTGGGCTTTACTGTGGGCCTGTACCCCTGGAGGTATCACTTTTGTTTCTTTTGGCTCTCACACGTGGACTGTGCTATGCCTCTGCTAAACCAAACAGACTTAGGAATGGTGCAGCGTGCCAAAGAACGCAATCGAAAAAATGTCTCGAAATAAGTTGAAGGAGAGAAAAGGAGAGAGAGACAGAATGACCTGATTTTAAATAAAGCAACTGCAATTAGATTAAAGACTTTACTGATATATAGAAAAAAAAACACAACTAAAAATACTAGAGACTGAGACTAAAAGTAACCTGACAGATATTGTACAGCATTTTAATAGTTCTAAACACACAAATTAGTGCTAGTAGTTAATGTATAAACACTTGTGTCTGTGGTAGTAGTACATAATAGAATTGTCCTAACAGTTCTAGTAGTGGAGGTTAGTGCGTTTGACTCTTGAGAGCTTTAAGTCATGTTATAATGTTGTTACTTCTTCAAAAACATACATGGAGTTCACACATGTTTGAGTAACTCTTTATTATCAGTTGGTCCACATCTCCAGTGCTCAAAATGTGTGTTCCACCTTGTGATGTCATGAGGCGGAAGTTAACAGCTACCTTTTACCTTTTATTCAGACAGTTCAAGGGCTGAAATTATCCAAATGATTCTAGTGAATCATGGAATAAATGGAATATAAAAACTAAATCGAGCACTTCCTGTATTAACACATGGCATCACAAGGTGGAACAGTGTTTTCTATTTGAGAGAAGAACTCAACCTAAATATGCAGGATTTGTGTGTTAATAAAACAAAACACAACTCCAGGCATGTTTCTGATGAGGAAAAAGCATTATAACATCGATCAGAAAATAGCTTAATATAAGTAGATTTTTCTTTTTTTTTTAATAACGTGAATAGTTTAATCAAGGAAAGACTGAATCATATTTTAAATGAGGTAAAATACATTTGCTATGTGTAAACACTGCCAAACAAAAGTCATTTGCAAGTAAGCCTGTCACAGTGAATACCATACTATATCAACAACATAAGATTTAAGATGTAGAGAGTTGAATTATGAACTTATATGACTCATTATAGAAACAAACTTAACTATTAAAACGGTTTCATTCTGTATTTACCCTAATGTCTTTTTAACAATATTGTATTTACAATAGTTTTTTGGGAATAATTCTTCTTTATGGTGTGGTCTCTGGCCATTAAATTTTGAAAGCATCTAATTTTTAAAAATAGCACACATCTGTTTTTGTATAAGAAATATTCATACTGTCTGTTAGTCAAATTGTGCTTATCTTGAAAGTACTTTGAAAGTAGTTTGAAATGTACTGACCTGTTTTTGGTGCTTGGTCCTTTTTCATCTGTACACTGAGGTCTGCACTTAAGCAGTAACTGCCTGGGGCCCCTTATGCCACAAAATGTAGACATCCATAGATTAACATCACTTCTGTTTCTTCTGATAATAGCTGGAGCATTGTCAGCTAACTCTACACATTTTGCACTACCTTTCCTCTTTGCACTTAGATTTATGGTGATGTAGCGTGTCTATGTGCTCTAGCCTTTGACAGTGGGAAGCTAACACTGAACTTCTTTGAAAATGGTCACAAGACAAAAAGGGAATACTTATAAGAAATTAAGGCATAGTCAGCTCTTGTTTGAGTTCACAGCTTTCTAACCACATTCATTACCAACAATACATCTACACATGAAGTTATGAGCAGTGGTAATGTAAAAAGCCACCATGATACCTGTAGCATTCTGTATTTGTGGAACTATCCATACAGAGGACAATCAACAATCATGGAAGATATTGAAAAAAAATTCAATTTTTTCTGAACTCAACAACTTAATTTTTCACCAAAGGACATTTTATTACAAAAATAATTTTAATCTGTTATTTACTAAGTGCAACCATTCAAATTGTAATTTTTATTTGATACTAATACGGCTGAAAATCTTCTGTAAAAGGACAAATCCTTGCACATAAGACTCAAGCTATGTGCAAGGGTCTTAAATGTGTAAAGAAAATGTTAATCTGTTTAACTGTTTTTCCTTTTGTTTTATTTATTAGAATGGCTGAACCTCGCTTTAACAGTCCATACTTCTGGCCTCCACCTCCTGCAGTTCATGGACAGGTGAGAAAAGTTTGTAAAAGCCAGTATTGTCCATTTTCAACATTAGATTAACTTATTTAGAGATTTTATTTCTAAACAAGGGTGTAGTACTGCATATAACTCACATGGGGGAGTAAGTACACTGTACACCAGGGGTGGACAATTATTTTTTCCATGGGGCCCACATGAGAAAGAGAAAAATTTGTGCAGGGCTCGTCCAAAATGCTTAACTCAATTCTGCATAAGATTAATTGTATCTCTTTATAAAAAGCAGTAAATAGCATTGTTTTAACAAGCTGGTAAAACTGGAAAGAGTATACTGCATGTTATGACTAAAGCACTAAAATGTCATTTAAAAAAAACAAACAATGCAGCTTTATTCCATGCATGAGGTGAAATTATAAAATGTTTATTTTGTAATTCCAAATGATCTTAAATGGGCTGGTCAGAGTGGCCCGGGAGCTGTACAATGCCCAGGTCTGCTGTACACTATAGTAAATCTGTCTTGACTGATAATCAAATATCATAATTAAAATTTTGAAATGTATCCAATTCATCCATTTTATTTTTGTTTATATAAGCAATATATCCTGACTATAGACCACACATAAAATCTATTGGATAATCTTGATATGATATTTACCAGTAGAGGGAGCCAGCACTGCATACAAACTTGGCAAAAAAGTCAAGATTTTATTTTATTTTGTTGTGACCTTACCAGTCCAGTGAGGACAGATCCAACAAGAATATCATATAATCTACTAAACACATATTGTGTTACTTGTTTGCCAAGTTAAGTTAAAATGTGAACTGTTCTGTTCTTGTCACAAATGCTGTTCTCTTGTGTCAGCTGGATAACCTAGTCTTGATCAATAAAATCAAGGAACAGCTGATGGCAGAGAAGACACGGCCTCCTCACCTGCCCCCCATCTCTGAAGCGTCTCAGGCTCCTCTCCTGTCTCCGCCCACTCAGGTCGAAGGTCATGGAACATCCAAGAGCCAGACGCTGACCCCCATCCTGCCTGGCCATGGTGCCCCCCAGCCCGACATTGCTCTGCATGCCCGCCCAGCTGCCAGCTCTGTCACAGGTACTGCTCCAGCTGTAGCGCTCTCAAGGGGAAATCTAAGTGTCATTGTGAGGGTACACAGAAATAGAAAACAAGTCTTTAGCATTTCGTTAGAACAGCTTAATTTATACAAGTAGATATATCAACAGTCCCGTCTACAACAAAGGCTGACCAGTTATGTGGTAACTAATAACACGTTTTTTTACAGTGCCAATACATTTTAAACCTAAAATTAGGTAAGTCTTGTACTAGTAGTAGAGGAAGGTAGATTTGTATTGAGACTGCAGGATCGATTGAGGGAATGTGGGGACATCTTGTGGTGACCAAGGCTATTGCCTTGGTCACCACAAGATGTCCCCACATTCCCTCAATGTAAAGACGTAATTCTGAGAATTAAGTCTTATGGCCAGACACCAGATATCTCTGTAAAGATGATTCTTTCACGTCATTCTTAGGTATGTTCAGCTGTCAACATGACCACAATAAATAAAGCAACAAATAAGGGGATCCATCTGGTTTTATTAGGAAATATGGCTGTCTTGCTCTGAAATCTATTTTGCATACATCCATTGTTGTTATCTGAGGAGATGCATAAACAATGAATTTGTATATGTTAAGCTGTTCTGGGAAGGGAAATTCTCATTTTCATCCTGAGCAATTAAACCTCCATGGACATAGCCAGGTGGTCAAGAAGAAATGTGTTTGATTATAATACAAATTTGTGCTCTAAACAAAGTTTAATTTTAAAATGTATGTAACTTGTATGCTACCTGTTTGTCTCCATGGAGATGTTTCACAGTATGACATTATACTGTTATCTATCTTGCTCTTACTCAGATATGAGATATTTTATATGATATTCAGATATGAGATATGTTTAATGCTTCCAAAAAAAAAGTCTCCACAGCTTTTAACTCACCTGCTTGTTTCCATGGAGATAAGTTTAATACCCTTCACCAGAAAAGTTACATAGTGCAGTTACATCAAAAAGAATATGTGCAAAACAAATAGGAGTAATGAGTGTAGCCTAAATTGCCAGTTGCAGCTAACTTTATTTTGTTCAGTGATTAATCTGGTTAGACCTTAAAATGTTTTTAATCCTGTATAGTTAAGATAATTAAAACAAAATTACTAAATTAGCAGACAATTATTCAAATATTTGATTAATTGTGATTTATTTTGTCTAGTAGAAATGTGAAGCCTATCTAAGTAGAAAATGTGATCCTCCTTTATACTGGTCTCAAATTGATAAAGTTGCTATATATTGATACTTTGCTGTGAAATCATGCTGGGGGTGTTCTGAATGTTTGTGTGTGGTGGAATGATCAGTAGTTACCATGGTGGCACGATGCATGCATTAGCACAGACAAAAAAGACTTAACTCAAGAAATCAAGAAAATAGTTAAACAACACATTTTCAGGAGTCTGTGATCAATACAAGCATCCATGGTCCTGTTTAGGAGTTCGATTTACAACAAAGAGAGTGACTAACTGAAAAACTGTTGGCTAATACTAGCTAGTCTGTGACAGTAATTTTATGTGTGAAGACTTGTTCGAGGGTACAAATCATCTCACCTATTGTAGTTGCAACTAAATCAGTTCTTTGTGGTCCGATTGTGTTAAAACCTCAGATTAAAGAATAAAATTGTCTATTTACTCTCAGAAAATTTCTACATATGTTCTTTTTACATTCTTTTCCAGGGCGTATTCTTGGAGATGTGAATTTGAACCTTGATGATAAGTCGGCCATAAAAGCCAGAGGATTATGGGAGGACTGGCATTTGAGACAACTCATAGACCACCCCTCACGGACCAACCACGTATCAGGTAAGTATTTTGTACTGTTAACACTTCCTGATTAAAAACAGCACTGTTTTTAATCTACCAGTATGAAGGTGCACTTTTGCATAGGTGTGGTGCCTCATCTATTCAAATCAGATGCTTATGTGCTTATGGTAATATATCCTACTGGTTAAAACAGTGGCAAACTATTACAATACTGAAAACACATCATCACATAGTTGTGCGTTAATTTTATTTCTATATCTTTTTTGCAGAGTTGTACTAAAATGAATAAATATTTAGAAATAAGGCAGTGAAAAGGGAGCCACTGGGGAAATCAATTAAATCAAGGCATCAATGCAGTTACAATTGCTTGTTTTGCAGATTTGGTCTAAATGCATAGGGAGATCATTGCTAAAAAAATAATTGTTTAGGTTAAATATTTGAAAATATTCCTTTTGGACATTTCTTAAATGTATTAAGAAAACTATTTAACTGGTAGAGTGTCAGATACCCCATAGACATGTGATTGCTTAGCCTGAAATGTTATAGAAATGTAGCATTTAAGTCATCAATCTATGTTTAGTGCCAAAGTACATTGAAAGACATGCATTAGGTTATTTCTATAAATCGAGTCAGCGCTCTATAGATCTGACTTGTAACATGGCCTGATGGTGCTACAAGACAGTGACAGTAACTCCACCAGAAAAATCACGCAGTGTGCCTTTAAGAAAATGTGAAACTGACACAGGAATACAAGCCCCATCTGTCCTCTGAGAGCATAACACCCTCACATTCTAGTCTAGTCTACACCTGGTAATTATCCTCTGTACCTTTATAGGTGTGGCTCTCGCTTCTCGGACAGGTAACCTCAACACCTCTGACATCATCAGCCCGACCACGCCCCCCTCTGGCACCCACAGTCGTTTGGGTGGGGCTTCAGGGGCCCACCTGATCCCTGGGCTGGCCCCCGCTCACTGCATGGAGCCTGGGAAGAACCCTGGAGGGCTGGTGGGACTGCTGGGCCCCCCTCCCAAAGTCGAGAGGGGGCACAAGAGGATCAAAGCGGAGAATGGTTCCTCTGTGTTTGTGGTGCCCTACCCCATCTTAGCTTCAGGCAACGACCAGTCCTGTGTCACCATCACAGCCAAAGAGGGGAGGACCTACAGGTGAGAGATATAAGAGTTAGTGATAGTTAAAAGTACTAGCAAAAAAACAGCTCTTCACTAAGTTGCCAGAATGCATGTTCACACACACACACACACACACATACTTTATATAGCACTTCTCCACCTTCAAGGTACTCAAAGCCATTTGCACTCATACACCAGTGAACACAGACACTAGGGGCGAGGTGGGTTAAATGTCTTGCCCAAGGACATATTTGTGGGAGCTGGAATCACACTACCAACCTTTGGGTCAGTGGATCTGATCGCTCAACCAATGATGTTTTTATGTCAAGAGCAAGATTCAAACCACCAACCTTCTGATCAGTGGACAAAAGCTCTACCAACTGAGCTACTGCCGCCTGTCAAAAAAAATTTAGGTGTTTTTGAGCACCTCAAAAATACAAGATTAATAAATAATAAATTGAATAAATGCAAGACAGACAGGTTTAATGCCATACTATGAGAATGTCTAGACAAAGCAATAACATCTCCATAGACAATTTATACAATTTATGGTATGACTAGACAAGTAATTAAAATTCAAATTAAGTTAAACCAGTTTACATTCCAGTAGCATTACTGCAAGCACCCTGCAGACATGTTTATTGTGCAAACATTAATGGCTAGTAAATATACTATATTATATACTATTTATTATATTTTTGAGTATATAATAGCGACTGTTTAATATTCTTAGGTAATTTACATTGTCAAAACACAATAAAGTCAAACTTCTGCCACGATATGGCCTTTAAATTAGCCACTATCTGTACCACCACTTCCTTTCATTCATGAGAAAAACAAAAATCTCCTCAGAGTTTTGACACACGGTTATGTTAAAACATTTTGAAAGACATTGCAAAATAGATTGTTTGTCAAGAGGCCAAAGAGGCCACATGTTCTTGAGCCAATAAGCATGTTTCTATGGTTAAACCTTTTTTATTTTGTACTCAGTTTTATGTTCCACAGTTTGGCATTAAACTTGTTAAAATATAAGCACTAGAAAAAATAATTGTTAGATCCAGTAGCTCCTTTAACAACTGATTTTCTTAAACATTGGCTCACTGACAGTTGCATAGTTCACACATTGGTTTATATAGTGTTTCAAATAGCTTCCATCTTGTACACCCAACTGATATTCAAAACTTTCAATTTTATCTGATGTGTTTTTTGTTTTTTTTTATGGTTCCAGGTGCAAAGTGTGTCCCATGACCTACATCTCAAAGTCAGACATGCAGTTACACTCAAAGACGCACACCGAAGCCAAACCTCACAAATGTTCACACTGCTCCAAAACCTTTGCTAACGCCTCCTACCTGTCCCAGCACCTGCGCATCCACCTGGGTGTCAAACCCTACCGCTGCTCCTACTGCGAGAAGTGTTTCCGACAACTTTCCCATCTGCAGCAACACACCAGGTCTGAAAATATATGCTTTCAAACAGGTTGGGGACTATGGTATGGTTACATATTACTAGATATACAGTAGAATGTTACTGTTAAGTTTCTTTAGTCATGTGTCAATAACTGTGTAAAATCATGACACTATAGTTCTCACAGTAATTGTCACTGTAATAATCAAAGAGATTGACTAGAGCAACTGGAAACTTATATTAAATAGGAATAACAAAGCAGGTTAGAATTCTTTGGTAGAAATTACCTTAAAACTTTGATGCTTATCTTGCCTCATAAGATTTTTTTATGCATTTAATGAGAAAATATTGATATTACACTTCAAAGACAAAATGAACAAACAGACAAACCACTTGGGTTAGGTTGGGTTGGGCCCCATAGTTTTGACTGTGCAAATTCAAATGTATTTATTTATTAAATTATTATCATGATGATTGCTGTACTTGTAACTCTCAATCTATCCACATGACATTACTCACAACACAAAACACTCTTTAGCACTGCCTGCATTTCTTTTATTTACTAACACATTTAGAATTGAGTTTCAGTTTGTTATTTTCTCCTAAAAAATTCAATCTGTCATATATTTATCTAATTTCAGAATCCACACAGGAGACCGGCCCTACAAATGCATCCATCCAGGGTGTGGCAAAGCATTCACTCAGTTATCAAATCTCCAGGTGAAACATTTACTCCAAGTCTCATTTGACCTGCAGCCAAGCGTGGTCTTTCACAATTTCTATTTCTGTATTTAAATGTATGGTGTGTAAGGTTTTTATTTGAAATTTAATAAGTATTACCTATCTGTATTTGCAAATATAAACTAAACTTTCTTGTGATCAATCTATACTAACAAAAGCCAACCTACATGTAAAGTGCTTCATTATCTGATTGGTTATGTCACATTAAAGTAACACTCTGTAATTTTTCTAACACGGAAATAGATGGTTAAAAGCATACTTAGTCATACTGTGAAAGATTACAATCATAAAAGTCTGTTTTGTGGAGATGGAAAAAACATTCAAAATTCAAAAAAAGTTATATAGTAAGGCTTTAATTATACTATATCTTTCAGAAGGTTGGATTTCATAAAGCTGGTTGCATGTTACAGGAATGGTATAAATGCCATAAGAAAGTGGATTAAGAAATGATTAACTGAACCTTGAGTAGTTCGTACACCATGTGTTGACTTGTGCTTTTCTGGTTTCAGTCACACCAGAGACAGCACAACAAAGACAAGCCCTTCAAATGTTCGAACTGTTACCGTGCCTACTCAGACTCCGCCTCCCTGCAGATCCATCTGTCTGCCCACGCCATTAAGAATGCCAAAGCTTACTGCTGCAGCATGTGTGGCCGCTCATACACCTCAGTAAGGCCCTTTGACAGTTATTACTCCTTTCATGGATATACACTCCAAAAGATTTAACTTTAAAGGTGCACTGCATAAGTTTTTTGGTGGAGGGTCTGCCACCTGCTTGTCTTTTTTAGGATGTTATTGCTTTACTTGGAATGTTCCATAGTATGACATAAACATATCCATCTAGCCTTTATTCATTATGGGTGTTTCTATTGCTCAAAAATACATTAATTCCTTCTGTGAATAGGTGCAACTGTCCACATGCTGTAACCTTCTTCTCTCTCTCATGATAGTTAGGTTTAATCTATACTGTGGAATGTTCTAGACAGTAACATTTCCATGGAGACAAGCAGGTGGCAGACCCTCCACCTTTAAGGAATAAAATTGACTACAATTTTAGTTTTATTCAAATGCTAAAAGGTTATGCACTGATATAATTTAATTTAAAAATTGCACCCTAACATTCTGACGAAGTGGCACTGAGGAGCAGAACTCAGTGCTACTTAGGCAGCATAACAGACAAAATGGGTTTCTTTGCTTTTTTGCCCCATTTTTGTCCGTGTAACTATTGTTTTTGTCCAGAATATTATTTCTTCAACACACGGACTCAGAAACATCTTATTAAAGGAGAGAAAGGTTCAGTTCAGCTGTCTCTGATCCAAAAGTCTATGTCAGTGATGAATGTAAGCCTAGCCAACAGTGGTACACTGGTTTTCAACTAGTGTTTACTTGTTTTAAATGTCAAAGACAAACTAAACATTTAACAGAGAAGTCGACTTTTATATTTGTTATTAATCAGGAGCAGCTCTTTCACATTATATATATTAAATCTAAATATAAAATTGAATTTCCTTTGGGATTGATTAAGTATTTATCAGGAGAAAATGTCATAGGCTGCGCAAGCACTACAAGAGGCAAGATGAAATACAATAGAGGTTACGCAGATGACATCACAACCTTTGGAAGTTTATTAGTGAGTGGCAAAGATATAAGATTGTTAATGGTGAGTCATGACATTTTCTCCTAATAAATTCTTTATCGATCCCAAAGAAAATTCAATTTTATAATTATAATTATATTTAATTGCCCTTGTTTTAGAAACACCTGTATACTGTCACTATATTGTGCTATTAAACAATTCAATTTAGATAATCATGTATGTGCCAAGACAAATTATTTGCCTACGTGATTTTCCCATCTTTTTCCTCTTCTATTTTCCTATGTCCTATTTTGTCAGGAATACATTTTCTTTCACATGAACAATTGACTAAAAAGCTATTGTTTAATAGGAATGTAACTAATCGAAATACCGTGATATCATATCTTAAAAGTCTCACAATAATAGTCTGGGCTGTCACAAATATATCAGATTATATTAAAAATAAGTTATTTTGCTTAAATACATAGTTTTATTGTAGAAACAGCTAATAAACATAAGCAAATACATAGAAAATTGTCCATTTCAGTGCAGAGATCATGAATAAATATCTTTTATATCTTAATTGTTGGAGTTATGACAGTAAAGATTTCCACCAAAATCTTGCTAAGGTATTTTAAAAGCAAAAAGAATTGTGATAATATTGTACCGCTACATGTGGTTATTGTTACATTGGTCAAAACTTTTTTAGAAGTTAACTTTTTTCTGACGTTATTTGAGAAATTACTGAGAAAAAAGAAACACTAACTGATTAGAACTTTTCTGGATTGTACAAATAAATTCTACTTTCACTAAACAAGAAACTACTACAGAAATCACACATGAATTTAATATTTTGATGATGAACTTAAACTAGTAAAACAGGCAGTAATCTTTGCCAGTATCATAATGTATAATCATTCTTGGCATTAATTTACTTCTTCTCTCTCTTGTTCCTACAGGAGACGTATCTTATGAAGCACATGGCGAAGCACACAATGGTTGAACACTTAGTTTCTCATCACCACTCTCCCATCCACCGGACAGAGTCTCCCTCCATCCCCATTCGCATCGCCCTCATCTGAGCCGACTCTTCTCTGGTATAAGGCCTCATCTGGACTATGGCTGCACAATATAATACATATTAACAACAGTTTAAAACAACTAACAGTTACAAAAGGAATGATCTTGATATTTTCCTCATAGATATTTTAGCAATCCATCCTAATTGTGCTAAAATGTGTCTTGGTTAAGGTTGAAGTATCGTACATAGTGAATGCACTGTGAAATTAACTTAAAAGTAGCAGAAATGCCACCTTGTATTAAGTAAAGCTATAAAGTAAAAGCTTAAATTAACTTTACATTTATGAAGCAATACAATGCACTTGATATGAGATAAAATCTAAACAAATCTGAACCAAAACTTAACCTGAAGTATTTGTAATATATTGTGCAGCTCTAAGATTTCATTGGCTCCAAAAACATTCCGAGATTTTACCAGTAACAAAGGGTGCTCTTTTAATATTTTACTTTCATTTCTGTATTTGTTGAAAAATGGTGGTACTGGTGCGTGTCAAATACTGTGGAAAAGTTAAGTGACTCACAGTAGTTTAATCAAAATGTGAAAGGTTGACTGCAGTATAAAAATTCAATTCAGACTGAAATGTAAGCTATGTATTTGTTTTGAGGATGATAGTGACTGTAAACAATGATTATCATAACTGTATTTTTTATCATTTAACCAGAAGGGATTTGAAGTCAAGGACTTCTTTGTGCTGGTTCGAAGCCTGGATGAATGGATAGGGCTGCACCAGGAATGACATCCAGCAAAAACCTGCCATTCAAATATATGGGTCAGAGACTTTTCCACAATATTCCAGTCATATTAACTTTAACATCCAAAGATGATTTGCAGCACTTTCTAGCCTGCAAAAACAGGCTTTAAACATTTTAATGTACATTTGAAAAAAGTAAAAAATGCCCAAGGCAGCTAGTAGAATACTAACATTTTGTGTCATGATAACTCTTTTTATACTACCTGTTATTAGTTATTAAATATACTATATTTACATAAAGAAGAAACGTCTTCCTCAAGCTGTGTAAATGGCTTGAGAAAAGAGAATGTACTGTTAATGGTGTACAGAGTATTGTACTATAAGTATATAATAGACACTTTTGGACTAATTTACTAGTCATTGCCAAAATGCACACTTTATTTTATTGTTTTTACACTTTCATTTTGTATATCTGAGGTACGTACATGCACAAGTAAACTGACAAGTCTTAAAGGTCCTATATTATGCAAACATGACTCTTGAGAGCTTTAAGCCATGTTATAATGTTAGTACCTCATCAAAAACATACCAGAAGTAGTGTTTTTCTTCATTCAAACATGATTGAGTAACCCTGCATTCTTAGTCTGTCTACATTTCCAATGATCGAAATGCTTTGTTCCACCTTGTGATGTCCTGAAGCTGTAGTTTTCACCTTAACAGCTACCCTTTACTTCTAGTTCAGTAGAGATGGGCAGTTCTAGGGCTGGATTAGCTAGTTGATAGTTGACTCTACTGAAGATGTATGGAGGTGGAGTGCTTTCCTGCATTACCACATGACCTCACAAGGTGGAACATATCCTCAACCTAAATATGCAGGGCATCAAAACACAACTCCAGGTATGATTTTGATGAGGAGACAAGATTATAACATAGATTTGAAAATAGCATAATATGGGCCCCTTAATGTTGTCCTGTCAATTTAAAACCTTAACGGTCCATTCTATGTCCTGAAAACGTCCTAAAGTCCACCAAGTGCACTAAACCAATTAATATGAATTGCCTTTTTTAGTTTAACAAGATTATGATCATTAGGTACACTATAGCACTTATGGAAATGGAAAAGCTGATAATTATTCAAAATATTTCCTGCCTCAGGCCCAAACATGACCAAATAAATATGTTAAAATAGATAACAACAAGAGACTGAATGTAACAAGTCTACATTACAATGACATGTTGTATTCCAATTCCAAAACTTCATATTAATCATCTTTAAATGCTTTTTAGATAGTGGAACTGTATTTTTTTCATGTCACACTTTTTTTGTCTTTTCTCAAAATGTTAGAGATTATTTTGAGCTGTCTGAATATTTTTGTTTTAAATTTGCCACTTCAGTATTAATATTAATCCTTAATATAAGCCTTACGTTTTCTACCATTTTGTCCACTTTTTTTAAGTAGACTTTGACATATTACATAGCATGCTATAGTGTAAATACTTCATATCTGTTATTGTTTTATAATAAATATTTATATACAGGACATTTTGTAATTAGCCTGGTGTCACTTCTCTCCTCTCTCTTCTCAGTTAAAGTCCTGTATTATGCAAAATTAAGACATCTTTTAATGCTGTTAAAATTGTGTTGTTGCTTTTTCATTCATACATGTTGGAGTAACCCTTTATTATTAGTCTGTCTACAGCTCCAAACCTCATCTCACCTTGTGACATTATGTAGTGGTCGTTTTCAAATTAACAGTTTCTTTTACCTCTATTTCAGAGACTGCTAATTTCAGGTCTAAAATTATCTGAGTGATTCTAGTGAAGGTGTATGGAATTTAAAAAGTTTAGTTTAGTTTAGTCTTTATTTGAAGGGGCACTGTGCAGAAACAAGATAATAAAAAAAAAGTAGATGTTCTACACCAGATTATAGCAAAATTGTATATTATTATTGCTAGTTTCCATGACACAATAGAACACTTCCTGTATTACCACATGACATCAAAAGGGGGAACAGAGTGTTTTCTGTGCAGAATTTGCAAAAAACGTGTGAATGAAACAAAACACAACTCCAGGCATGTTTGTAGATTAGAAAGCAGCGTAATATAGGCCATTTAATCTGTGAAACTCCTTCTGCAAGGTTACACATGTCCACACATAGCCAAATTTAAAAACTTAACGTTTAATGTTTTGTATGTAAATTCTGAACCTTCTTTGTATGTATGCATGCTTTAAAAAAGATGAGACCCATAACCAAATGGTTTTGAATAATTTATCCCACTAATAAATACTTAAAAATATTCTGAAAGCCCCTGAAATTGGTCGTAAGAGACCATACCATGAGGTCAAGTTACTGGTTAAAGGGCCCACTTTACAATATTTTCTGATTTATGTTGTTTCCTCATCACAAACATACCCAAACAAACTCTGCATATTTAGGCTGCATAAAACACTTCCACCTTCTGATGTCATGTAGAAATATAGGAAGTGCTCCACTGTGTTTATAAACTCCATACACCTTCACTACAATTTCAGCCTGGGAATTAAACATTTAGGCAGACTAATAATAAAGGATTACTCAAAATGTGTGTGAATGAAACAATGACATGATTTAACTGTCACAAGAGTCACTTCTGCATAATATAGGCCTTGGTGGGTGAAGGGCTGCAAATTCCCCCATAGTAACAGATCAGCACTTCAGTTAGTGGTGATGCTGCCTCTTTAAGGATGTCATTTCTTTCATAGAATCTACTGCATTATGGCATTACGTGGCAGTCATTCATAACAACAGATCTTGGTATTGCTCAAAACCAAAGCGGACCCATCTCCACAGATTTGACCTGGTTCATATGATAGCCTCTGGGAAGGCAGAGATAGGTACAACAATGCAGGCAAAGCTATATCCACTCCCTGATAACAAGCAGGTGGAGCTACATAGGGCACCTTAAAAGAAGCACTAACATTTGAAAGAACAGAGCAAGGTACTGAAATATTGATCAAATTGCCAAGTATTACTAGTATTTGTGTTTTCAGATGTGTAGACTACAGCATATGTTTTTACTGATTTCAGCAGAAGATTTGAATTTTGTTGGCCATTGAAGTTATGATTTTATCAGAATTACTACATTTACCCAGTTGTTGGATTGTTTGCCTGAAAAAGTAGAGATCATCAGCATTCCTCTTTAGCGAGAGAGACAAACAGCTCTTCATCAAATGAAGAAGAGAAAGTGGTTAGTATTTACACAACCAGGAAGACGGAAGAAATGCTAACTGAAGATTTCCAACTGAGGCAAGAAGCTGAGATTCATCAGTACTTCCATTCAAACAATTTAACAACAAAATGACAATTGTAATTTTTTTTAAGTAGAATTAGATATGATGAGATTTCAGTTTCTTGCAGATCAGACTACTTCTGGGTGACTTGTCTATTTGACTATGCTAAATCAATGTATTAATTAAATAAATAAATTGATTTATTTAATCAATGATAAAAATAAATTAAAAATCCAGATTATTTGAATTTTGAGCTTTTTCAGTTCAAAGCTATAATTTTGTCTTCAGTTGCACTTGCATCAGTTAAATGGTAGGCCTAGTTTGTGGGAAAAGTTGACCAAAAAAAGTACAAAAATACCTTTTAATGACTTCTACAAGTTTTGGTCTTTGTTGACATTATTGTTTGCTAGGTAGGTGAGTGGTCTTACGAGTCAAGTATGTGGAGGTGTACGCCCTCTCACAGTAAGGACACGTTTTTTCAGGTTTTTAGTGCAAAAACACAACAACAACAAAAAAATAAAAATAAAAAAGCTTACTCTATTGTTTGGCTAAAAAAATACACAGTGTGGCTTTAATCAGTCTCATTTAGTGTTAAGTTCAATGCAAGAGTCTTCCTCCAAAGCCTGCATTCTGCTCTAACCCACAGGCTTTTGCTGACAGATAACTGGATTAGATGTACAGCCTTGCTCTATGATATGCTGTGATGTAGTAAGATACACAAGATATCTCTGTCTGTATCTATCAATCTATATAAAAATGAAATAAAAGTAATTGGATAAATAGAAGCTTAACAAGAATTTATACTAGGTTAAACCACAATCCACGAGTAATGCAGGAGCAAACATATCTGAACCATAATTAAGTCCTGGTTTAGTCCTTTAATCAAGTTTGTTTGTTTGGCCCGGTGTCGCACCCTTTTGTTCTTTTTGACCAGCTCACCAGGTCCAGGAAAGAGGTGTGTGCAGGTCAGGGCCATGGAGAACACCGGAGCAGGCAGGTGGAGTAGTGCACACGTGCAGTCCTGATGTAAAGACGTTTCTGTCAGTCTACTCATTTGAATATGTTAAGGCCTGTTTACTGTGGGTGTGAGCTACAAAAGCAGACTGCCAGTTCAGGCTTCACACTTCTATGTTTAATACAAATGTGAATGTGTTTGTTCAGGTAAAGTTGTCAGTGCAGTCGGCCTACTCCAGGTGGTGGACTGAAGAGAGAAGACCAGGTACAGGCCTTATCTCACCATCATCCAGTTGATTTAAACCTAAAAGATCTGAATAATTACTTTTCTTCCACAGAAAAGTAATTATTCCCTGAATAAGTATGGCCCTGAATGATTATGCTAATATGACTTCCCATTCAGTGCATTCCAATAGGCCTAACTAACTAACAGAAACGGTAAACAAGTAGGTGTATTAGTTTGACTACAGTTTGTTCCTCCCTGCATGCAGATATAAGGAAGTGTCCACAAGCATTCTGACCAGAACTGAAGAAGCAGCTCGGATGAACTGTGAAACGTATTTGATCTAAATAATCTTTGTCCTGCTGACAAATTGAATTTCTCCTTTGCTACTGAACAAAAGGTAAAAGTTTGCCGTTAACTTCAAAACTACCACTTCATGAAATCAAAAGGTGGAATCAAGGTGGAACAGAGCATTTTGAGCTTGGGAAATGTAGACAGACTAATAAACCAGGGTGAATGAAACAAAATACAACTCCAGACATGTTTTTTATGAGGTAACACATGGCTTAAAGCTCAATTTTGCATAATTTAGGACCTTTAATTTTCAGGATTATCATATTTTAATTGCTAACAAACATTTTCGCTCAAATAGCACAAACTAGAGAAACCCTTTCTTTAGACAGGCTTGTTTTAACACGTCTTTTCTTCTTTAATGGTGGTTCTTATCAGTTAACAAATAGTAAATCGAGCAGTGTGTGTGTGAGTTTCCGAGTCAAAAGCACACAATCACATTGTGGTGTGCACACATATTTAGAGCAAATGTTTGTACAAAATCCTGGTGCTGTTTAATTATTATTCATTTTTATTATTATTATTTTTTTTTTTAATCTAAAATGGTTTAATAATTGAAACATCCATTGACTTTCTGTTCAAAAGGCCTTAGTTCAAACACAGAAGTACTAGATTTCCCTGTACAGAAAATTCTTCCTTAGTTATGCAAGGTGTGTGTGGCATTAGGTCTTTTTTAATAATTGCAAGTGGGCAGGCATAGGGGCTGAGTGAAAACATAAATTTTCTTAACACACAGCTTTGAATGAAGCGCAATGAAGCCTTACACATATGTCTTCTTGATTTTGTTTTTATTTTAATTACCTGATCAGTCAAAACCACACACTTTGCCTAAATGCAGAAGGGAGTGTTTGTTATGTTGTTGTTATTTTGTATATATCCTATGCTACCAAGCTACTACTTCCCATTCACATCTCTTTAAAAAATGTTGCCAAGAGCCCACCAAAAACATAATACAGGCCAGTTTTGGACTCCTAGAAAAACTGAACCAGAAAAATAAAAAGGTCTGAGTGTCTTCCTCTTTCTTACAAGACCATAGCCTCCCCAAGGTATGTGAAGGTACTGTTTGTAAGCCATACTTGCACCTATATAGCAAATACTTTAGCTCTTGAGTATTTGCTTTGTTAAAACAGTCTAGGAATGTAGTCATTTAGCCTTAGTCTGTTTAGTCCTACTTGTGTCCATTTTAGTTTTATTTGACTCCACGAGAGTCCAAAATGTTAATTCACATGTTTTAATATAATAGCCCCTTTAATACGTTTCCTGCTCATTATTTTGACCTTAATACGCCAATTTATGCTTCAAGACTAATATGAATCCCTTTCTCATGTAGCCAATTCATGCCTTCTAGCCTTGCCTTCTGTTTGTTGACAAATGATCTAATTCCACAACGAATGAATACACAAATGTCTGTTCCTCCCATTACATTATTCATCTCCACTCCTTCCTTAGCTCTAAGAAATGTTATCAGTCCTTCATCTTATCTGATATCAACTTGACAATCTCAGTCCATGCGCTACAGGAACTAATAGACATAAAGGCACCGTGGTGAAGTTAGTTTTACGTTAGACGTTCGATATTCAGTTACGCATCAACAGCGGAGATGTTCATTCCCTGTACCCCGCTTGCTCGATCACGGTGCGGGGAGCTGTACACCAAAGCTCCGCTGAGTCCGCGGGTTAGGGACCGTCAATAAATTACAATTGTATTGAATGGAGTCTGCTAAAATATATATATAAAGAAATAAAAAAGGGATTTATAAAAAAATAAAAAAGGGTTTTATGAAACATTTGTTATTTTTATGTATTTTGAGAGTTAATTAGTTAATGCATTTTTTCAATATCTTCCAGGTCAATTAATCTAAAAACACCAAACCAAGTTATTATAGTAGTCCTACTCCTCAGGTATCACGCACACCTTTTGGTTTTCCAAATTAAACCTTTATGGAATTTTTAGGAATTTTTTTCCTTGAAAATCTGTGATTTTTTTCAATAGCTTCTAAGGTAGATGACCTACCAACTCCAAACCAAGTTATTATAGTAGTCCTACTCCTCAGGTATCACGCACACCATTTAGTTTTCCAATTTAACCCTTTATGGGATTTTTAGGAATTTTTTTCCTTGGAAATCTGTGATTTTTTTTCAGTAGCTTCTAAAGCAGATGACCTACCAACTCCAAACCAAGTTACACCTTTTGGTTTTTCCGAATTAACGCTTTGTGAGATTTTTAGAGATTTCTTTCATAGATAAAACAGACATGTTCAAGCTTTTTTTTTCTTCCTTTTTTTTACTCTGAAGAAATGATAATCATAACATCAACAAACATTCAGGTCATTTTCACACTGTCCCTACTTAGTTATCTGACGAACTGTTATGTTATGTTAACATAGCAGACACCCATTCAGCCTGCTGTTCTCTATTCTTTTGTTATTACTATAACTTGCCTTTCAAGATGAAATGTCGGTTTCTGATTTTATAGAATAAATTTCCCCCAAATAGTGCATACTTATAGTCCTGTGCGACTTATATGTTTTTTCTTCTGCATTAGGCATTTTTTGGCTGGTGCGACTTATACTCTGGAGCGACTTATAGTCCGAAAAATACGGTAAACAGAATTACATGTAGTGCCACTGGGATCGCCTCAGACAGCGCGTTAGTATGTATCAACATCTCCTCAGTCACAGACAACACATTTCCATGGGACGTCTTTTGCTCTTATTATGTCCGTCCGACACATCCCCACACTCTCCGTGGAACCAGCAATCGCAATCATCACACTGGATCTGTCATTAGGAACAAAAAAAAAGTAACAATGTGCTGTATTGTCCTTACTATAAGGCTTTTGTTATGTAAGATGTAATAAATGATTCTCACCCAACCTGCAGGACACCGACCAGGACATTTTGGTGCTTTCTTTCGTGCACACATCACACAATGTGTGTTTGTATCAAAGACTAAAAAAAGATACATTTTTATCATTAGTTCACAAACTCTACAGCTAACCAGTCCAACAAGGTTTGTTTTTCCATAAATGTATTTTATTAGATTCTTTTTTCAGACCAGGAGTTTGTTTTCATACATGACAGTTTAAATCAGCTGACTGGACATGTCACAGCAACATTACGTGACCGCTCTGAAGAAGACCGCTAGTGAACAGTCTAAACTGTCAGGTATGAAAACAAACTCTTGGTCTGAATAAAGAACCCAATAAAATACATTTTTGCAATACCAAATGAACTTCTCTGGCCTGAAAAAAATAACAATCTAATAAAATAAAAGTATAGCTATCCCTTTTTATTTGCCATATATTGCCTACCTGACCTCTGCAGCAATTCTACAGCCATTGTTGTCCTCTCTCTTGCCATCATTGCTTTATTTGTTGGAAAATTAAACTCCGGTGTATTGGGGAAGCAATCTATTATTTCTTTTGCCATCTAAAAATGAATTGCATTTTTAACAATTGAGTGATCCACATTGTCAGATGACCCGTATAACAGCCTACATGTTACCTTTGCCACAATGACTCCACAGCTACATCCATCCATTTGGTAAGGGTGTTGTAATACCCCACCTTCCCAGTTTATAGTTCTCCACTCATTCCTCTTGTTTTTCAGGTAACGGAGATTCAGGTACATCCTGTACATACATTTGTTATATCATTTTTTGACATATGCTTGATTACAATAGTAAAAGTTAGTTACTTTAATTTCTTGGCTGCTTTTTCAGAAGACTCCAGCTCCTTGGTGTTTCTGAAGGGGTCAATCAAAAAAACCTACTCTTGGCGCACATGGATAAACTGAAAGAGGAAATGTGTTATTGTAATTGTAACTAAGAATAAAATTGTATTTAGTATTGTAATACAAACAAACCAGAAGGTTCCAGTGGTTATTGTTTACAAGCACAGCTGACAACACAGCTTCATAGCGCCCCAGATTTACCTGTAAATATAAAGACATAAGGAGCTGGGCGGCGCGGAGATGGTGGCTCTGAGGATAGGCGGCGCGGAGACGGTGGCTCTGAGGATGAGCGGTGCGGAGACGGTGGCTCTGAGGATGGGCGGTGCGGAGACGGTGGCTCTGAGGATGAGCAGTGCGGAGACGGTGGCTCTGAGGATGGGCAGTGCGGAGACGGTGGCTCTGAGGATGGACGGCATGGAGACGATGGCTCTGAGGATGGGCGGTGCGGAGATGGTGGCTCTGAAGATGGGCGGTGCGGAGACGGTGGCTCTGAGGATAAGTGGCATGGAGATGGTGGCTCAGATGGGCGGCATGGAGACGGTGGCTCTGAGGATAATGGACGGCGCGGAGACGGTGACTCTGAGGATGGGCGGCGTGGAGAGGGTGGCTGTGGAGATGGTAGCTGTATACACAGTGGCTCTGAGGATGGGCGGCGTGGAGATGGGCGGCATACTAAAATAATAAATAATGAGTGAGTGGAGAAAATAATTAATCTGGGCATAACATTTTCTTAAATGCAGTCTACACCAGTCTTTGTAGTGTGCTATTAACGTCAAACAAATAATTATACTGGATAACATAACGTAAAATTAAAAAATTTATCACATTGTCATTAGTGGTTATGAATAAACTTAAGAGATCATTATAGCTATTATTATTATTATCAACAACAACAATAACAATTACCAGCCAAAGCAGCAAACTGCATCTGTAGCGGAACCAGGACTAAACCAGGTCTAAATCAGGACTACACCAGGACTAATCTTGGACTTGAGAGAGAGTGAGAGAGAGAGAGCAAGAGAGACAGTGAGAGACTGTCCGCAGAGCGCGATGGGGCGACAGCTGCACTGAGCCTTGAGCCCCGCGCAGCGCGAAGCACCGGCCCGGGCACGGTCCTTTCGTCTGCCGTCACCAGACAGTATATGCGCGCTACCTTTGAGAAAGTCCTGACAAACAATCTTGGTTTAGTCCTGGTTTAACACCCCAGCGCTCCTCACTTCTCCGTGCACAGCGCCCCCCATCTCCTTACTTCTCGGTGCACGGAATCTCCACGGCTCTTTATACTGTGTTTCTATGTAATAAGATGCTTTTATAACCATAAAATAGTTATTGAGGAGTGGATTGTTTTAGACGGAGCACTACTGAAGGCCTAGGTCTGAAATGCACGCTCCGCCACAGGCTGCCGGTATGTAGGCATAGGCTATCCTTGATTTAAGAGGCTATAAATTATATGTAGGCTAAGCCTAAAAAAATATATATTAAATAACATTACCTCGTTGAAGAACTTCCTGTCTGATTCCTCTCCTGTTTTCCATCCAGATGGTTTTCAACCATTTTTCCAAATTAGGTTCATGGTTACCAAAAACCACATGCGTAATGGCGGACCATTTTTCTGGTGTAATTACGCCGCAACTTAATCCATTGTCAATTAATGCATTTATCAATGCCTCCGTTTTTGTCCTTTTTTAAGACGTCCCATAGTTCAAATGGTAAACTTTCGTGTTTTTATTTGCAAGACTAGCGTAACTGTGCTATACTGTACAGAGGTTCGGCAAACTTTGACCACAGGCCCAGGAAAACGGCGCAAGGGACGTTACGATAATAATAAAAAGACAATAAAAACAAAACAAATATAATAATAATAAAAATAATAATAATAATAATAATTATTTAAAGCCGCGCGCGGCGATGGTGGCCCTCGCCCCGGCGCGCACCGCCCCCCCACGCGACCTCCGGGGACTCGCGACCGCCCCGGCACGCCACTCTCTCTTCCCGACAGCCGCCCAGACTGACAGTTTGTCCATCAGAAAAATTACATAGTGTACCTTTGTTTCTTGGTTCCTTGCTGTCAGATTTTGTCCTGAGAATTTTACACTCTGAATTCTGACAGTTGAATTTGAGAACTTGAAAATATATGTGCAGAATATTTTTAAGGTAAAAAATGTCATTTAGAACTTGAAACACTGAAAGAGTATACTTAAAATTTCAGCTAGTAAAAGTTTCAATAAAAATAATTCAACCATCTAATTAAGTTTTGTTTAGAGTGAAAAAAATTTCAAGTTAGAAAAAAAAGTTAGAAAAAAAAAAATTCTAAATGTAATGGAAGAAATTATCTTGTTTTATTGTAATTTTTTTTTTTATTATTATTAAAAAAATGTATTGTAAATGGCAATTAAAAATGATGGGCCATTAAGATGTTAAATTTAAAAAATACATGAAATTACTGTGAACTTAGTCTAAGAAATACAAACAAGTGGTATTATTTTTAAGGACAGATTTTTTATTAAAGTTTGGCACATCAGATACAAATGTAAAAGCAGAAAATTTACATACAATTCCAGTATACATTCTCTACAATTTGAATAAAATGTACATTATAAATAGAGCAGAATGCCTTTATTGTCACGATACACAAGTCCTATAAACAGATTTATATACAGAGTGATTTTACACATGAATTATACAAGTTATTGCACAGATTGTTTTTGTCAGTATATACATTACATTAAGAGTTTTTACAGGTTTGAGTGTCACAGAAATTCACAGTATTAACAAGCAATAATTGTACATACAAGTACATATTAAAAGAGAGGAGAATACATGACATTATATTCACATTACAAGGAAAACATTACACTAGAACCATGATGCATGAGCAAAAAACAATTAGCTGCTACGATATCCAAACCAAAGCCAAACCAATAAAACACCAGGATAAATAGATTCAAAAACACAAGCCAATCCAAGCAAAAACCAACCAACTACACAAACACCGAGATTATCAAGCCTTTATCAATCGCTAATCAGAAAAAAGAAAGCGCACATCAAGGACAATGTTGTAAGGCAACACAACTGCTGAAAATTGAACAGACTAATTGTCTGTTATGTTTTTGTATCGGAAACAACATGCTACCCCTTCGTGGTCACTGAAATAAGTTGGTACAACACATGTGTCAACTTCAAATTTTGAGGACTTTAAGTACATGTGATCAATTAAAGTGCCCTGTTCTGTAGTGGGAGAGGCAACACATTGAACAAATCCTTTTTTTTGCATGAAATGTAAAATATTTGATGATTTCAATATGTTGTCATTAAAGTCTCCCACAATAGTGATGTTACTATAGTTCGAATCAAGCCAATTTATCAGTTTGTTTAAATGATGTTTAAAAAGTGTCATTGGGTATGAAGGTGGTCTGTAGATGACAGCAATGAGAATGTCATGTTCTATAAAATGTTTAGCCAAACATTCCAGATTAGAAGACTGCAATGAGACAGTGTTGTAAGAATGACCGTCTGGACAGTACATTCCAACTCCACCATGTTGTTGTGTCTGCAGTTTTACAAGTGCAGGGTTATGGCTACTTTGATAAGCTAAACTGCGTGGTTGACTGTGGAAACTGTAACCTGAAATGTTATGGGTTTGTTCGAGTGACTGTAGATTTAGCCATGTTTCTGTAACAGCAACACAATGGGGATGGAAGGGCTGCATACATAACTGCAAATCAGACACATGTTGTGGGAGTCCTTGCACATTCATGAAAAACAAGTTGAATACTTGAGTTTCTTGCATGTGCAATGACTGGTCAGTGACCACGAAAGGAAGCATTTTGTCTAATGCTGGCCTAATCTTGCCGTTACAGTAAATTTTCTTTGGTTCAAAGTTTTGAATTATGATGCCTTCCAAACTCCTGACACGACTCAAGGCAACATAGGCTTGACCCGCTGTAAAAGTGTGGTTCAGACCCACCACAGCTTCATCAACGGTAAGACCTTGTACCTTGTGCACTGTGCAGGCCCACGCTAATTTAAGGGGAAACTGCCGCCGCTTCTCCCCCTTTTTATTAGCTTGATCTTCTACTGGTTCTATACGTGTAGAACCAGTCAGGCCTGGTGGAGTGAGAGTCCGGCTTCTCTTCTGTGCGCCAATTAAGTCCTCGTCAAACTTGACATAAATTGCCAGGGGAAGTCTTCTGTTTGGTGGATTGTCTATGTGGGTTACTGTGCCACATACACCATTCACCAGACCATCAGGTATATCCACATTTTTAATCAGCATTACACATGCATTGACACCAACAGGCAATTCATCAAGTAGCGAGGTGTTTCTTGTTTTAACAACTCCCTCCGTGAATTCAATCAGTTTACCAGTTTTTTTACTGTAGCTGTAATCTTGTGCTGTGATAGTTATGTAATCCGGGCAGGTGATTCGGACCTGTTCGAGATTGTGTCTTTCCACCTGTGTGTTGGTGGGAAAAGATATGCAAAGCAGTGGAGTTTTGTCCTGTTTCACGGCTTTTTAAAAGATCTTCATCTTCTGGGAGCATGGGTGTCTTTCTTGACCGGGTCCTTAAGCGGTTCAGCAGATCTGCAAATGTGGTGTCTTGTTGCCGTACAACCGTTGTCAACTCCGCAATGCGAAACAAGTCTTCCCACAGATTATAACCAACTCGTACATCATACAAAGGTTTACCTTTTACCGGAGGTAATTGGTAAAAGTCGCCAACTGCAATAATACTAATGTTACCAAATGGGGAATCGCCACTTTGTTTAATCTGTCGTAATCTACCGTGAATGTAAACCAATAAGTTGTATGAAACCATTGAAACTTCGTCTATGATGACAATATGAACATCGTTGAACTGAACTCTCAGAGTATTGAGTTTGTCTTCACTCAGTGGTACGTAGGGGAGACGGCAGTCCATGCCAATGCTAAATGTGGAGTGAATGGTTGTAGCCTTTAGATTATATGCTGCTATTCCAGTAGGTGCAGTTAGCAGAACGCTAACACCATCTGGAGTAGAACATAAAGGTGCCAAAAGTCTTGTTGCTTCGTATTGTATCGCTCTAATGAGATGACTTTTTCCAGTGCCTGCTCCGCCGGTTATAAATGTGTGCAGAGGCTCTGGGTTTTGATGTGTAATTTTCTGCAAGCACCACTGTCGAATTTGTGTGAAAATGGCCATCTGTTGGTCATTTAAGGATCGAATTAAACTTAAACCCTCTTGTCTAGTTAATGTTTTTGCTTTTTCAAACTGGAGGATGTCTTCTTTTCTAACAGCCAATTCAGGAATTTGTAGTAACTCGGCATGGACTTCCTCTTCATCTCTTTCCACACCTTCGTCCTTATCTTCCAGCCTTTCAAGTTGTTGGGCAGGGCAGAGGGCACACCATGCGTCTTCCAAATTCGCATTCATGCTGACTTCGTTTTCAATTGCTTCCAAGTCATCAGTGTGTTTGTCAAATCTCTTTTGATTTGCATCAACTACAGATTTAACAGAACACTCTG